TGGGACATGTTTTTGGGAAGTCTCCTCCCAGGCATGTCCAGTGGGCTCTGTGCCAGCCTGTTTGTGGGCGTGACCTTCCCCAGGGTTGCTTTTCCTCTCTGCCCACAGGAACAAGAAAAATGAGAAAGCCTGATGTCCACCAGCTAGAGCGTTGTGGCCTAGGGTATGAAGAAGCACGGGGAGTAAGGAAAGCAGAGGTTTTCTGCACTTCTCATGGGGACCCGCTACAACTAAAGGCAATTCCAACCTGAGGTACTGGGCAGCAACCTAATCGTGGGCGCTTACCGTACGGATCGTCCCTGGTCGTGATGCCCATCAGTTCCGACGTCTTCGGCACGCTGCTGTCTACTGCCGGCACCTGTCTGGTCGGCCTGCTCTCGCTTCCGCCGCAGGTACTTCTTACAGTCTTCCTCTGCAAAAACACCCCATCAGTGCAAGAAGCTCCTCTGACAGCAGTTTTACACTGCTGGAGCTTCTTAAAACAGGAATGGCTATTTCTTCAGGAATACCAGAGGGTAAAACCCTGTCCAGTTTAATTTAACCTCTTGATACTGCCTCCACCATCTCTTCTGATAATTCCTGAAGCTCATTCTTGCTGTGTGAAAAAGTACTCTCTTTTACTAATTTTAAACCAGTCCCCTCCTATTATCCTTAGTCCTAGTATATCCCAGCGCACCCTAAAAGCATCCATCATGTGCATAACCGGTCCCACCTCTACTGTCTGCTCTCACTGTTATGCACTGTGCAAGTATTTAAAATAATCAAACAGGGAATTCTCAATTGGAAGTCTTCATATTGGCTGTTACTAATAAATGTAGGCACAAAGTGGGTGATTGACACCACTGGCCTCTGTCAGCCAGACCCGTGGGTGACGTCAGCCAGACGTGTGGGTCACCACACACAGGGGGACCCCATAAAACTCTTGTGAGCTGCTGAAATGGGCTTTGTCTTGCGCCACAGCTCGTGGAGATCCTCCTTATCTCAGGCAGAGCGTGTGTGCACTGGGAGAGCCGACGGGTGGGCAGGCCTGTCGCGTTCGCCGTTGTGAACTTCCCACAGACGACAGTGATGGGCATGCATCTATTATGAACAGATTTTGTTTAAAAATGAACGGTAAATCTAAATGTTAAGTCTTTGGAGAAGCGAGAAGCAAGCCCGTAGCCTCAGCCTCTCTGTGATGTGTAATTACAGAAGAACTTGAAAGCAAAAGGAGATTTGAAACCAGGAATTAACAAAATATGAAACTCCCTAGAGCCTTCTCCTTTACTTAAGATTTAACAAAATCCCCAACGAGCAGCAATCAGGACAGCCCTGACGGCTCAGAGGGTTAGGCTGGCACAGCTACAGAGATCTCTGGTACAACAACAGCAGTCGCAGAGCCCAGGATCTCCCGGAAGCGCAGGTGGGAGCCCGCTGAGCCCCGCAGTAACAGCCCGAATCGGTAACAAGCAGCTCCTGGAACCTCAGCCTCTGCTTCCACCTCATCGTTATGCATCTCCCCAATCTAATAAAGCGTCACATCTGATCAAAGCTTTTCCTGAGGCTGAGTCGTTCCCGATCCGTCTCTCTCCTCCCCACTTCTTCCCCAGTCCGGCAGTGGAGAGAAGAACCGGCTGCATTCCTCACCAGCCGGAAGGTTTGGATTTCAGGTCTCTCCTCACTAAAGCACAAACTCCGGTCCCACCTCTCTGTCAGCTGCCGTGAGGTGTGCACAGGCCGTTTTTGCGGATTCTCATAAACACAAGCGTTCTTTTGATCATCTAGCTAAGCCTACACGTACAGCATCTTGATGGCATCATGTTGTAATCTTAGACCCCAAGAATCCCTACAGGGTAATCCTGCGAGCTGGGGGAAATTTTCAAAACAAAACTCTGGAGCCTCGTGGTTGTAAGTGCAAACTGGGGACCCTATTGCCCTGGAACTGCCAAAAGGTCCGGAGAGCCTGAAGGGATGAAAGAAATTCATTAATTTCACATGGATTAGTTCCCAGAGGGAAAAAGTGCCTGAACATACAGGGTAATGAGAGCGGGAGAGGGTCACAGATTATTCTGCAGGCCCATAAAGAAAAAGGACGCAAACAAATGCGATGAAGTAGTGAGAAATTCCTCCAAGCTAACCTGTCCCACTCCACCCAGCATCTAACACCGTGCAGGCTTTACATTCCTCGAACAGGCAAACAAAAGCCTGAGGTATTGGAAAGAAAGAATAAAACCATGACACCTGAGGTGCAAAATTACGAGCGTGGTGAGAAGAGAGAAAAAACAGACCCAATAACTGCCAAGCAGGAAGCAGCACTTTTATAGCAGGTCAGGAAGAAAGAAAAATCAGGAAAGAGTCAACAAAACCGTACTGAAGCAAAGCGCTTCACCTCCCTAAAGATGACAACGAAATGAGCTTCTGAGAAAGATTGTGCTTAGGGCAGATCTGCCGGGATGAAAAAGCTGCATTCTGCAAGCGTCTGCACTCCGGAGAGAGTAACGGGGAGCTCCTGCACGCAGCCCCACGGCACAAAGTGCACAAAACTGAACAATTCAAGGCCGCAAGAGACACCGATTTTTAGCATCCTAAGCGCAGCCAGGGAAGGAGTATGTGATGAAAAGACCAGGAACTGGTTCTGCAGCAGAACCCACAAAGCAAACCTGTCCTCTGGAGCTGCACAGCACCGACGCGTCGTGTTGAACAAGGACGCTGTGTCCCAGAGGAGCCTGGCTCGTGTGCCCACGCAAGGACATCAGGTGTCACCTGAGAGATCCCTGAGCATCTGAGCCATCTGGTGCAGGCCAGCAGTGTGACACTGGACCTATGAACGACCCATGTCCACCAGGAGGTAGAGGCCAAGATATCCCGACGCCTCTCGGATGAGCTGAGACACCTTTGAGCGAAGAGCCAAATCGCGCCCCACACCTGCACCTCCTGCGATGAAAGCACAGACCGCAGAAACCTCAGTACCCACGTTTTCCGACTCTGAGCTGAATCCCACCGCAGGAGTCCTAACAGTGGGCGCAAAGATGCCCTTAGCATCAGGAACTACCACGCCTACGAGATCATGCAACCATCCATTTCCCTTTCTCTCACAAGGGTAAATATCTCTGATTTCTGCAAGAGCTCGGAGCACCAGCAGCAGGTCACCAGCCCTCACCGCAATCCTCAGCCAAAAATAATAAAAAAAGGAACGGCCACGCTGGGTCAGGCTGAAGGTCCACCTACCCTAGCATCCTGTCTCCATCAGCAGTCAAAACCAGAGGCCATGCAGAGAACATAATAATAAAATGAGCACACCATGATATCTTCCTAAAATATCTTTCAGGTATAATCTAGAATCTATTTTTATAACCTGTCTTTTGGACAATTTGCAGTTAAGGAATTTCCTTAGTCAGAGGCAGTATTTCTGTGTAGAGCAGCCCTCTTCCAAGAATTTCTCCATCTCCTCTTATCAGCAGGAGCCACCTCCGGGCCAAACTCATGACTTTCCCGAAGCTCAGGTCCCTCCCATTCATTCTGCTGTTGCCTATTCAGGCTCTGACAATAACCAGCAAGCCGGCTCCCGAACTGAGGGCCAGAAGCAGCGTGGGTAATGCCCAACGGTTTTGTGAGGCCCCAGCTCTCTCACACAGCTGGCAGCTTCTCCTGTTTGTTATCAACCTCTGACGGGCAGATCGCGAAGCACACCCATTCTTTCTGCCTGTCCCAACACCGAGTCTTCAGAGCGTGTCCGTAAGTAGGAAGAACCGCAGGAGTATGGGAAAGTTGTCCATCGCTTCTCGGTCAGGCTCTCTACATAGATGGATTTCTACATCTTCACTTACCTCTATGAGTAACAGGAAATGAGATTTAATATTTCTCCACCACCAGCCCAGTAAGCTACATTGTACAACACGGGACTTCAGAGGAGTCTCTGGCTTTGGAAATCCTTTGGCAATAAATATTCCCTTCTGATGACAGCTGTCTGCCATCTGAATCTCTGTGCTTGTGAAAAGCACAAAGTCTATAATGAACAATTTATCAAAACAGCACTACAACCTTCATACTTCTCACTGATCTATCCTGGGTTTTTTTCAATTTGGAAGCAAATTTGTTTCCCTTCCACTACCCAGTTAATCATTTTTCCCTTCCATTACCCAGTTCCACACATCCCTCCTCTCTCCCTGAAAATTATCACACTAGACCCACACATCTTAATTTCTACACTGTCTCGTGCCTGTGAAACCTGGCTGACCTGGCCCAAAGCATCCTTTGACATGCAGAAACTTTATTAACAAAGGTTTGGGATAAGATGGCACTCTAGATAACTTATAGAACCATTAAGGCTGAAAAAGACCTCTAAGATCATCAAGGCCAGCCATCGACCCAACACTATCGTGACCCCTAAACCATGTCCTGAAGTGCCATGTCTACACATTTTTTGAGCACCTCCAGGGACGGTGACTCTGCCACTTCCCCGGGAAGCCTGTGCCAACGTGTCTCCACTCCTTCAGTAAAGAATTTTTTCCTAATATCCAGTCTAGACCTCCCGTGTTGCAACTTGAGGCTGTTTCTTCTCGTCCTGGTCTCATTAGAGTTAGCAGTTACGGTGAGCATCGCTGCAGAATCATAGAATGACTTGAGTTGGAAGAAGCCTTAAAGATCATCTAGTTCCAACCCCCG